AAATCTGGACAGGACGGCCTTCCAGGCCTTTTTTTTATTGTCATTATAGTATTACGGGGAACCCCGTAGCAGCCACATCCGTGCTCAAGCCTCCAACGAGGGAACATGCGGGAGCTGCACCCACCAGCAGGTGCGATACCGGCCAGGGGTCAGCCGGTAGCATCAGGACCGAGCTTCTTCGATGGGCCAGTCACTGTGCCTCCCCTCCGGTCCCCTCCCCCCGATGAACATCAGCAGTCTCTGCTCAATGCCACTCGGGGGGACCAACGACCTATCTCTAGGTGGCGGGCGCCAAGCTTGCCCAGGAAGGCGGGCGCTGTTCATTGTTGGACTTTACATGGATGAATGTGAACACTCCGATGTGAAAGTGTTGTTTTTCGAGCCGTGCGATGTGAACATGTTTACTGAGTCGTTCGATGCGGAGGGTGTGAGTTGCGGTGGGGTGTGCGATGTCCTTCTGCCTTTTCATGTCGTGTTGTGTTTTTTTTTGTTTTTCTTTTTTCAGCTATCTTTTCAGGTTGCGTGAACGATAGACCGGGGCTCGAATCCAGCGATTTGCACACTGGCAATAGGGAACTCCTGCGATTTTTGACCCTTTCGAGAATTTGCAAATTCGTAGAAAAGGTATTAAAAATAAAAAAAGAGGGGGAGGGGAAATAAAAATGCCCGTGCATCAGAAAGATGCACCAGAACGCTGTTCCGTTCCCGGCAGATGGATCGACAGGAAACTTTGGCCAGTCATGGATCAAGCGAGGTATCGTCCGTATCAAAGACCTGTGGTCCCTAACCCGCGGGGGTTGGAGACCCCTGTCGGAAGTCAAGGAAGTACTAAAGGGGCTGCAAAGAATAGAGGAACATTGGCGGCAGATTATTGATGCTATACCACAAGACTGGATGGAGCTCCTAGGTCCAGATGGCCTGGACCCGCCGGATACCTGGTACGTATGGGAACGAGAGTCGGAGGGGAACGTGCTGTGGAAGGTAAGGAAATTCTCCCAAGTGGGTTTTGCGGGGTGGAGAGGTGGCGTTGCTCAGGCCCATTCAACATCCTGTCATGGATAGAAGAAGAGATCATTATGCGGTGGGACAACCCGGCACAGGTCCGGGTAGTGGAATAAAAAAGCAAAAGACCGCGGTCAACCACCTTCGCGTGGGTTGGAAGGACCCCCATACGGCAGCTGTGTATCGACCCGCCAGCATGGGGATGGACCAACAGCAAGGAAGGAGAACCCCCCCTCAGACCGATGGACTACTCAGTCGCACAGGGCTACCAGCAGTCTGCAAGAACTCTCAAGGAACCTGCACAAGTGGCTACTTCACGTTGGCAAACAGTCTAGGGGGGAGAGCTCGAGAATGCCAAACAAGATTTTGAGAGACTATGGAAGGCACTGACTCTACTCCCCAACGGCAAACAGGTCAATATCCTCTGGCTTCTGTCCATGATGGTGACCCCGTCGGCTGTCTGGCTTCTCAGCAAAGGCATGGAGGTGAAACTAGGCTGTACCAGATGCAGATGGCCATTCGAGTCTACCCTGTGGTGGGACTGTCCAGCATCCTAAAGGATCTGTAACTGGTGGACACACCATTGGAGAGAAGCTGATGGTCAGGGCGTAACATGGGATGAAAGGTGGGTGCTGACGGGCTTCCTTCCCCCGAATGCAGTAAGTCACCGGGGTTGGGGATACATCGCACACGCGGTCAGGGGCTTGATCTGCGAGATCATCTGGTTGGACAGAAATGGCTCGCGATTCCAGGAGAAACTCATGTCGAATCAAGAAATCAAGTGCAGGATAAAGAAAGGCTTAAAGCACGCAATCCTGGTGGACTGGAGGAGGAAGGCAAAGGCAGGAAAGGGTAGCTCAACTCAGCTGCGTTGGTTTTGGAGTACATGGGCCAGGGGCGAACACTTCGCAAAGGTGAAGCCCCTCGGGGAGCTGGTCCTATCTGAGGGGCTGTTGGAAGCAGGCAAGGAGAACAGAAGGTAGGAAGGGAAGACAGGTGGGTGGAAGCAACTGCATTGGGAAGACTAGTGGTTAACAAGACAGTCACTCTCAGGTAGGAGTGACACTTTTTCAACCAGGGCACTCGGTTGCTTAAGGCCACTGTGGGCCACTAGGAGAGTGTCAATACGTCTGGACCATCCTCGGTCCTCTGGGCCGTCTTAGTCCCAGAAGTGGTGGAGCCTGTAGACAGCCGACACCGGCACTACTCATCGAAGTACGAATCATTAAGCGCCCAGTCATGTTCTATAATCCAGCTGAGGTACCTTCCGTGAGATAGTAGAGTAGAAATATCGGCCTTTTCACAATCTATTATTGTTGTTAGATTAGCCTATGCTGGTATGCTGACTCTAGTTTGGAACTGTAGCAGCATGGTGAAAATCCAAGTAGGTCAGGTAGTCGGAAATCGGGAAGTCAGAAAGTCTGACCTCCGCAGGCGAGAGCCTGTAAGCTAAGCTGGCTGATGCTGTCAGATAACCCGGGTTGAATTGTGAGGACCCCGGCCTCCTTTTGCTACTTTTGTTATTTGAATTAAAAAAAAAAAAAAAAAAAGATGCACCGATGTCCGAATTCTGCGGGATAGATCTTCCATACGGTCGCCGTGAAGGTCAGGAGTTGCCTGAACGATAGACCGGGGCTCGAATCCAGCGATTTGCACAGCGACAATAGGGAACTCCTGTGCGAGGATTTAGTCCCTTGGCAGTGTCTGAAAGGCCGTGCCTGCCCTAAGTGAAGGCAGGCCTGCAAATATGTGCCAATGCCTGTTTACAGGCCTATGAGACCAGGCTGAGGGGCCCAAGCAGACCCTGTTGGGACCCCTATGTGGGCATGGATCTTCAACGAGGCCTTGTTGCGAGTTAGCTCCTCGGCATGCCCCTGTGGTGCCCTTTCAGCAAGCATGAACCCGCCCTAAGTGAAGGCGGGCCCCTGAATTTCAATCTGGGCTGAGTTCATCAATTTTGGCAGAGTTTGGTGGGCGCCAGACAGTTGCCACGGGCCAGTTGGTTACATCTTCGGTATTCGTGAGAATCATAAATAATTTGTGAGCCTTCTAGGCTCTTCCAGCAGCACAGGCGAAGCAGGGAGAAGCTCACGTTTACTCCTGGGTGGTTGGGCAGGCCTAACCAATTCGGTCCCAGGCCACTGTCGGAATGGGCCTGGGCGCAGACACTTTGGCCCAAACGGAAGCTACTAGAAACAGACGAGGCCCAACCAGACAGTTTTTTCCTGCCCGTTCATGACACCCCGATCGTCGCTCGCCGGGAGTCCGTGTAGGGTGACTGTCCCTGGTAGTTCCAGCCGCGGTGGACGTGGATCACAAACCGTGTCTGCCCAATTGTTGGGTTCCATGACTGGGCCGTCTGTGTTCTCCGCGCCGGGAGTTGTTGATCTGCTGATATTGTCCCACTCAGTCTGACATTGTCTGTGACACGGTTTGTGACACTCAGTCTGACATTGTCTGTGACACTTACGTTACCAAAATTGTTCCGGCCCTCGGACGGCAAGCTTGCTTGCCGTGACCAAGTGCGAGCGAACAGCGTGCTGCTGCAAGAGCTCACAAAGCATGAACCGTCGAAAAATTAAGAGAGAGCAAGAGAAAGTCTTTCATGCTCTATGCGTTGCTTTCCGATCAATCATGTGCTTCAATGCGTCAGTGGAGAGTGTGTGCTTAACAACCACCACGGATTCTGCACTGTCAGACGCCTGACCGTACTATCGGGATTCAGACTTCAGTGTGATTGCTTGCGACTCGTGTACGGGTAAGCATCCACGATTCACGATCTCACAATACTGTTCGCAATATACTGTAGTAATTATGGACTTCAAATCCATCCAACCCCTGCCTACATACTTTGCGCACAGCCTTTGCAGGGTGTACCCTTTTTTTCTTATATTTCCCAGACAATTTCCGGGAGAATAATACCTTGCGCACCGCAAAAGGGCCGAAGATGATCGCAATGTCTACCCCGCCATCTGCGCAGGCTCTCAGGTCGTACTCTTCACGTCCTTTATTTTTTTTTGTTTTTAATAGTTCTTTTGTTTATAATAATATATTCATCACTGGACTGGATGTGCTGGCTTATTTATATTTATAATAATATATATCACTGGACTGGATGGATGTGCTGGTTGCCCTTAGATTTCATTGTCGACTTCTGCAGGGTTGCGAGTGTGTGCTGATCTGAATCTGTGGACTAGATGTGGTGGTTACCGTTAGATTTCATCGTCCACATGTGCAGGGCTGTGAGTGTCTGCCGATCTCAAACATCGTCGTGTCTAAATGGCCGTGGCACCACATACTCCTGCGAATTACGAGAGTGTGCTTCTGCTTCGGGCGTTGTCATTGAGCAGCAGGTTCGTCTCGGGCGAAGAAATCAAGGCACATTCTTGCATTACTTTAACCCCACCCTTCGTCCAAAATCTCTCATTCCTTCTTTTTTTTTTTTTTTTTTTTTTAATGCTGCATTATACTCTATAAGCGAGATCCCCCCCCGCAACCACCCCACCCTCCCTTATATTCCGTTCGTGGCTGTAGTCTGTCATCTTTTGTCATTCTCAGTGCCACACATAGGGACCCTTCGTCACGTCTTCGGTCATTCCAAAATCAATAATCCTGTACCTCGGCTACCTGATCCGCCCCATCTCTTCCTTTACGCTAATTCTCATTCCGTTGGGTTTGTATACATGAATTAGACCTCCGCTCCCAATTCTGTAGTGCCACCAACATAATTTGCCTCGCAACTTGCAAACCCCATTCGCAGGGGGTTGCAAGCTGCTTACACACAGGCCGCCCATAAAACGATTTTATGGCCGGCCCATCAGAACCCCCTTCCCTAGGTTGTCTTCCCAGCAATCTAATCCCCCTTGCATTCTCCTTCGCTCGGGTTTGGAACCTGGTTACACACAGGCCGCCCCATCTAACGACTGCCCACACCTCATTCAGATGTTTTCCATGTGCGTTCACGGCAGCCAAATAGAACTTCCACTATCGTTTTCACTCATACCTCACTCACTGCAAAGCAGTCACCCTCCACTCGCTGCCCCTCCTCCCCGTCCCCCTTTCCGCCCCTTTACACACACGGCGATTTGCATGAAGTCGTACCTACCACAACGCACGTTCATTTGGCATTCGGGCTCATATGCTCTTCCACCAGTTGTCCGCCCTCTTACATACCCCATCACGCGCTTAAATACAACCTCGTTTGTATCATTCTACATTAGCGGCTGTCCGCACAACCGAAGCGCAGTTTCCACTGGGTAGCTGGCATCCATGCACACCCTCTTCCACTATCGTCGACCTTCTGCTATCCAAAGCTAGGAGATTGCTCCAACGCCGGGACTCTCGGATAACACTTACGAGAGCTGGTCTCAGGTAAGCCATTTGGACATATCTCTGGCCGGACTCCAGGTTGCCGCACCGTCGACTGCTACATCGTTACGTCGCCAGAGTGTTTCATCGTGCTTACGACAGGCGGGCTACATGCACTGTTCGCGATGACTGTTCGAGGCGTTCTGCCTGCTGACGTCATCATGCGTTGCTGATCTTTTGTGAGCTTCCTCCTCCGATTGGAACCCGTCTTCGGTGCTGTGCTTCTACTGCTGATGACCATTCTTGCAGCTGCGTAGTACCTTATTGTGTCGACTGTACGGAGACCATCTCTTCTTTTTTGCATTTGAGCACTGTGGCTGACACCTGCTTCCTCCGTTGTTCTGCTGAAACACACCGCGAACGGCTCTTCCTTGGTGTTCAAGCGCTGTAGACGATTGGACATTGTGGCTACTGTCGTGATCAGAGCTGTCAGTGCTTCTTGAGTTTCTTTGGACTACGGTGGATGGACTTGTGCTTGCTTGATCCGCTCTCCAGATTGTCAATATTGGAACGTCCTGCGGGAAAGATTCTCCTGGATGCAAAGTTGTTTTCCACTGCATTGCATTTCAAGCTTCAGCGTCATCAAGGTGTAGACATTGACGCCTTCAAAGGTACGACTGCTCGAACCTCCTCATTGTGTTCCCTCATTGTTGCCTCACTACTTCCTACATTTCTTTCTCTACCGTCTCGGTTTCATGTCTTCCTCATTCAGGATTTGTTGAATAATAGACTCATGGTGCATGAACTGCTCCGTTCACTTTTGTTACTTTGTCAAATGCTGCCTCATTTTGTTTCTACTCCTTGCTGCATCATGTCTTTGTAAGTTTGTACTTCCTCAGTTCCTCCATTGTTAGTTCCTATGTGCCCTCTCCCTTATTGAGCTCTACTTCTCCCTTGCTTAGTGCTCTGTGACTTGCTGCTTAGTTTCTGGCTGCTTCAACAGTTCGTGCTTGCTGCGTTCCATTCCATTCCTTACCCTTTGGTCAGCCTTCGCTTTGTCAATCCGTCCTTTCCCCTTTCGACCTCCATTGTTTGCTGCTTCATCTGTGTCATGTTCACCACTTTGTTCTTCTTTCCTCGCTGCTTAAGTGGATATATTTGCTTTTTAATGACGTTTTCCTTTATGGCCTGTTCGTCGATGATTTCCTGCCACGTCACTTCATTGTTGACTGTTGGTGCCTTATGCTTCCTTAATCCGTTCACTTTATCTTGTCCTGCTTCCTGTGTACTCGTGCACGGCTGTATCCTTTGTCGCTTGGTGCTGCGCCATTCGTCTTTCTTGCATGCGCAGATATGCTGATCGCTCAGTACTCGTCGCCTCATCATTACGGGCTTGGAGTTCTCGTGCGTTGTTTTTATCCATCATCAGCCGGAGCTTCATGAAATGCTCCTTCCTCTGCTGTTTCTTCATGCCATCCTCCACACGACTACACACTTCT